GCCTCTCTCATCTTTTTAAGTGGGAGAACTTGCACAATTGGTGGCTGACTAAATACTTTTTTGCCCCACTGTATTCGCGCATATATGGGCCACAACTTTACCTACAAGAGATTATAGATCAAGAGGAATCCAAGCAATCTCAAAAATGAAGGAAAGCAGTAGCATGGGAAAAGACATATATACTACTGACAAGTGTAGAGGAGACAATGTAGACAACGTCACTTGAGCAGACATATTTAGGATTTAAAAATAATAAAATATAGACTGTAGCACCATTAGATCTGCTGGACAGAAATAAAACCAACCTCTGCTGTTTCTTTCTCGTTCATATTCTCATGGCCCATCATATGGATCTGCCTCTTATTCTTTAAACAGTGGTAAACAAAAACCATTTCTTTAACTGAATCATTCTGGAAAAACATGAGACAGAAACATGTTTTTATATATTAGCCAGCTAGTATACAACATAAAGGCATTTTTATATACCATCGTTCCTTCCCCTCAAGGCTAGGTGAATAAATACATTTCATTTATTATTTGTGGGGATACTTAATTATGCTCAGTATTTCTCTTTTTACAATTTTAGTGAGATTTCTGACCTAAGACCAGCCCTTCTTCAAGTTTACACTGTATAGCCTTTTAACCTTCTAAAATGATGGCACCTTCTATTTATGGAACACAGCAACAGTATTACTATAATACAATTATACAGCTCAATTAGATGTTCTGGGATATGCAAGTTAAGAACAGCATACTGCCAATGTAACCCAGATAGCTTCATGGAAAAACAAGTTTCTGTATGCCTTCCTCCCTTGGACTCACCAAAAGGTCTGGTACTGGTTCTGTTGTAATTATTGTGTAACCTTTAAATCTCAGCCTGATTGTGCTGTCTATTTTTGGTAGTGCTCCATCTAAAAAAGAAAGAACAGCCACATTATTTGGAAGAGAAAAGCGATCAGACAACCTTAACTGCTTATCACACTCAACTAAAAAAAGCAACTGCAGCTACTACAAAAGCTGATACTGGCTTCCTCAAGTATCTACCTCCAGTTAACATCTGGAGACTCAAAAGGTTACTACTGCAATCTTCCATAAATTGTCTTAATAAATATAAACTGAAACATGGAAAAAGAAAAAAAAATTAATGTAGCGACCGTGTTGCCTCTTTAAGTACGAATTCTTGCAAGCTACTTCCATGTAACTGGTTTATACATATTTTGTGATTATGACTACAATAAAAGTTGTCCCCTTATTTTTTGCAAAATATATCCATATGGAATTTAAATGTCACCTGGAGTCAGAAAATCAAAATTAGTCCCAATAAAAGGAGGTAATCTGCTCGTAATAAAATCTTTTTTCATATAAGATGATCTCAGTTTCCTCCCGTTTTCCAAATGGCCTTCAAGGCGTTTCAGGAAGCTACTTAACTGCTCGGACGAACCAGATAAATCCGTTTTCTAAACAAAAAGACAAGAATAACTTGTTAACAACCTGAAATGAGAACTTAATTACTACATAAGACATTTATGGAATGAACAAGGCCACTTGTAAATGCTTTTTATTAAAGTCACTTTTGTAAAACAAGAATGAGCCAGTTACATAGATCCAAGAACACAATATATCTATATATTACTAAAAATCTTGTGTCTGTAACCTTCAGTTGGGCGAAATGGTGCATCATAGGGCAATACTTTTTGAACCAAAGAACCTCAAATGGGCTAACTTACAGAATGCATCCAAAATCCAGGTCACATTACTCATTACACATTGAAATTTGGCAAAGTTGTGGCCGCTTTAGTGCCACTGCATTGCCACAGTCAGCCATGGTCACATGAACATCATTTCCAACACTCCCTGCCAGCTTCCCACAAGTCAATGGGGGAAGGGAAGGGAAGGGAAGGGAAGGGAAGGGAAGGGAAGGGAAGGGAAGGGAGATTTCCAACGCTCCCTGCCAGCTTCCCACAAGGAAAGTCAATGAGGAAGCCGGCAAGATGTCAGAAGTCGCTAAAGCTCCCACTGCTTTTTTGCCTGCCCACGGTCATTCTGTTTCTGTTTAGGCAAGGAAATATCTCTGAAACAATGACCCAACAGGTCACGGGTTGTCTAGTTAAAAAAATGAAAATGTACATTTCAGATTCAGTTTTATGATTCATTTTTAAGTTTTAAAATTTTTGTAAGAAATACATTTTGAACATAATTGTCCTTACTGTTCTATGATCCTACCATAAACTGACAAAGCAACATGAAAAAAATCACCTTAGAAATGTGGAGAAGAATTCATTAATATACTGTTTTCACAAAAAGGACTTTTTTTAATGCCCTATTTTTTTACAATTTTGTAAGATCTTTTGCTAAGAGCCAAGGCTCAGAGTTCTTCCAAAAATAACATTATGGAACTCTTAGTGGTGATTAAAGGGAGTTACTTTACAGTTAGCACTGTGGCTACAAACTTTGCTTCTGGGAGCAGACAAACAAACAATTTTCCTTTAGCCTTGTAGTTTTACCATCAATAATTGCCTTGGAATGTTCTTTCGAAATTCAGCATCTTCTTTTGCTATATCCAAAAGAAGTCCAGGAACCATATCCAGTAATAAATCTCTCCAAGAGCTAGCATGTACAAAACAAAGTTATTAAGAACAAATAAGATATTAGCAATCTACATAAATATTTCTTGTTGAGGGCAGGATGTACATAAAACCTGGCTGAAACAGGGAAGCTTGGAACTTCATATATACAAATTTACCTATTTTCAGAGAAGTCCCATTAACATCAGTGAGAATTCAGTTTTACCTGAATGCTTGGAATGTATGAGATAGCATGTTTTGGAGAAGGGATGATACTGAACCTGTGACTCACGGCACTGTTTAAGGTCCACCCCTACTTTGTACTCAAGGTCTTGGGCAAACGGCATATCTTTTAGATTCCTGATTTTACTTTTCCATGAAAATGAATGCTTTGTGCCTATCCACCTCCTCCCTACAACTATTTTATGACACCGTTCATGACAGTTTCTCAAACTCAAAGTATATTAAGTGGCTCCAAAATGTTAAAACATCCTTATGGTTTTCTTAAACCAGGTATACTACTACTCCTTGGTTCTATCTCCTTCCGTAAGAGGCAGGCTGCAGAACTTTGTATTAATTGCAATTTCAATGTCACCTTTAAGGAGACCCCAAATAGAACATAGTGCAGTGCTCAAATCCCAATAAAAGATCAATTCTATAAGATAAATAATAGCCTACAGAATATTTTATGAAAGCTATTCTGTAAACCACAATAATTCAATTATGAAAAAGCAAGGAAGAATCCAAGAGAAAACCAGTGTTAATAAACGTTCTTAGGTGTTATTACCTACACGGCATGTTTGAGGTCTCCCCATAGATTTTCAGTAATATTCAAATATGAGGGAGTCTGAAGTCCATTCCAAAACTTACTTATTTTAAGTGCTTCATCACTGATTTGGAGGTATGTTTCAGATTGTAATCTTACTAAAATATCCAACCACTTTTCAGCTTCCATTGCTTTACTGACTGTGGGACATCAGCTTCTAGGATACACTGATGCTCAACTGAATCCATTATTCCTACCACCTGCATAGTATTTCCTGTGCTGCTGGATACTACACAAACCCAGAGCATAATAGAGCAATCCCTGCACATAACGGTTGATAAGGTGTTCTTTCTTCAAATGACCTTTGTTTCATCAATCCAAAGCACTTTATTCCATGCCATTTTCAGGCTTATCAAGCTTTCTTTTGCATCTTTTAGAGTAGCTGTTCTCAACTAGGGGACCACATGGCCCCTGGGGGCCCTGGGATATTTCAAGTGGGCCACAGGTGAAAAACAAGTCATGGGGGGCATGGCACATGTCGTGGGGGCCACAGAAAAGCAAAGTATATTATACTGCCAATACCATCTTGTTGATGCCAGAAAATGCACCAGTTACTGTCCCATGTCCATATCTATTTACAAGCCAAGTGTGTTAGTGGCAATCTTTTTCACCAGTAATGGGACCTGGGCGGGGGGGCCACAGGAGAAAAAGAAGGTTAGAAGGGGGCAACGGGTGAAAAAAAGGCTAAGAAACACTGCTTCAGAGAATTACTCTGATGCAGACAGAGAAAGAGTTCCATCCTGACAACTCTCCCATGCAGATCATTGTTATAAAAGCAATGCTGACTTGCGGACTACTCAATTGTCAACTAAACTTTTTAGCAGATCTGTTTGCAGTGAACTGTGGGTTCTGTTTTGCAGATCTATTCAACAGCAGAGATTTTCTTGGTCTTTAAGATAAAGTCCCAATCAGTGAAAAAAGTGAAGCTGAAATTTCAAAAGGCAACAATCCAAAACATAACCCTAAATCAACCACAAAGTACTTACTGAAAAGACAAATTAAAGGTTTCACAGTTGCCTTCACAGTTCCCAGAATTTAAAACTACTGATGAGCTCTGGGAGATCTCAAACACGCACAGCATGCAAGGAGATCTAAGAATATTTCTGAGCTAGAAGAGTCCTACAACAGTGGGATAAAAATTTCAAAAGCAGCAATAGAAACACTCTTGGATGCCTACAGAAACATTTAAGCTATTACTCCTACCAGAAGGCTTACAAAAAAACTGACTGAAAGGATGTCTAAAATTCTGCACCTGCCTTTTTCACTGTTTTCTTATTTTAAATCTGTAGGCAACTGCATATAAAGAGTAAGCATTTGTATTTAATTTTGTACCATGTAAAGATCATGTCATTTCTTTTCACTTAGGGATGCACTGAGACATACTGTTAGACCAGGGGTGCCTAAACTTTTTCGTATGACTGCAACATCAACATGCCAACAATTGTCTATTTTCCATGTAAAATCACTGGCAAAATTATACTTGAAATATAATACAAGATGCTTACTTGTTCTGGTATGTGCTAATGGTAATATGGGTAGAATGAGATACCCCAAGAGGAGTATCAGCTTGATGAATTGTTCCTCTTGGAAAATACAACAAGTCTCCTGGCTGAAAGGAAATGCAAGCATGGTCGTTATAATAGGAATTGTAATTGTGTAAGGCTAAGTTGCTATGTTTGCCTAGCTACTCTCAATAACAAAACACTGAATATATATTTTTGTCATGTCACAGGTTCTCATTTCATGCAGAGCTGCACTGTAATAAAAACACTTCCAAATTCTACATCTTAACTATACTGCACACACAGAATAGATTCTTTTTTCTTTTTTACATCCCTTGTACATCCCCCAATTTATATCTGAAATTAGGAGATCCTCTGAACAGATGTGGCAGGGGAAGGAGAAAGGACAGTAATGGGATATGCTGTTACATAAACACAAATATATTCTCAAAACGTTAAATCAAGTCTATCCTCTTTGTATGGCTTAGGAATAAAAAGAGAGAGATTTAGCATATGTTACCTTTAATAGGAAATCATGAGTTGGAATTCCAATTCTCTCTTCAGGTTCAGCATTGTATTCTTGAGCTAGATGTACAGTTGGGCGATAGAGCCGCCAGTGCTTCTCCCCTTCAAGTTGTAAGATAAACACCTAGAAGTGCCACAAGTCAACAAGCATCAAAACACCCTACAATTCCTTGTACCTTTTCCTGTTCTTTCTAAAGAACACACATTTGTGGCGGCTAAGTTCCACCTATACAAGCAAGCTTTAATACAGAGACAGCAAGTATTTTTCATTTAAAGCAAAATGTGCTTGTAAACATACGCTCAACATCCATTACAACAATAAATTTATCATGAACATTATCTAATTTACTACAGTACAACTTCCATAGTTTACAGTCCACAGACATATGTGACAACTCCCCAAAAGTCTCTGTTCTTGAAAATACTTGTGAGGAGAAAATTCACAGGCAATTAAGGGTCTCTTTACCTCAACATCATCATAGTGTGGAGGCAGGCCTTGGGATCCAGGAGGAGTAATGTAAACATTAGATCCAACCAATGAGCCAAAGTAGCATTCCAGTTTCTCTTGGATCCTCCAGAGCTCATCCTTATTTTAATACCAAATAGGACAGGAAGAAAGAAACGACTTTAATAATGGCCAAGCAACTATCTTTTGTCATCCTAATCCATATCAATATTAGTCTTGCATACTGCAGATATGGTAAGATCTGCATGAGACAAAAATTGTGCATCCTTCAGGAAAAAGTGATGCTAGAGTAAAACTCACTAATACCTATAGATGCTGTGTTAACTGAGACAAACAATGTTCAAACAAGTGAAAACTAAAGCAAAAATAATAGTAAAAATTTATCTTCTTTAGCAGACTTCTATGTAGACAGTTTTCAGGATACTGGCAGCACAAAACTCTTCTGCCACTTAAACTTATCCTACCAAGGATTGGGCAACCTGCACCAACTTGCAATTCTCAAACTAATTCTGTTTGGGTGGAAAGCAAGGGAGGAGGGGAAAAAAAGGAGATTAGTGAAAAAAGGAATGACCTACTACAATCATGTTACCCTCATCATCAGGAAGCTACTCAGAAATAAGTGGAGGTATCAGCATATTTGAGGAAAATCTAAGATCTGGATAAGACAAGAATACTTAGTGAGAAAAGGATGCGCAGCAAATCATTCCAATAAAATCAGGTAATAGCTATAGATTGTTGAATGCCTTTGGAATAGAAGGAAAAAATGTAACCAGTTGGGCACAATGGAGAGGATCACTTCACACTGTATTACACGGTGGATCTCGAGGATTGAAACAATGACATCATACCTACATCAGCTCTCCTGGAAACAAATTAGGGCTTTATATAGAAGAGAATCCATACTAATTTTGAACCTATATTTAACCAATTCCTTAGATGCCATTAATTTCTCCTAAAACTCAAATACATAAGTTCTCATTCATAAAAACTGTTGATTTCACCTCTGCATTATAGTTTTTGAAAATTCCAAATTTCCTGCAAGACTAATACTATGTATTGTCTCTTTGACAAACAGACTCCTAGCAAGATAATCTTTATAAATTTACACAGCAAAACTCTTAGTGGGGATGGAAAGATTTGAAAATGAAATGAAAGCTTGCTGGGCTTAAAACAAGGAAAAAGGCCCACCAGTTCATTTTTTTTTCTCCTTCCTGGTATATATTAGTGCATGTGTCTTCTGGTTTTGCTTTCAGTAACCACAGACTCCAACTAATGGAGAAATCATGCCAGAGTAATTATTTTCCCTTTATGGAAGAGTTTTGAGGGCAAAATGAAACTTTGGATCTCACAGTTCTTTAGCCCCTCCTGGTATGTTCAGGATACACCTCAGAAACCTGCATTTTTCCCCTCTGATGCTCCACAACCACCAGCTGCTGAGTCTGCTTTTGTTCTCATAAATGATAGCCTTAATTAGACATTGCAACATTTTCAAAAAAATTTATAAAGCCAAGTTAACAAGAAATAGCATTATGTAGAAATATTGTGTCAAAAGAAAAGTTCTTCTTTTAAAAGAAAACACATGCATAAAAAATGCATAATAATACACTTACTGTAAATTTAAGAAGAATATACTTGGCAGAGGGAGACTTAATTCTCAATCAAATCTAGACAATGAATATATATTTCTAAATATTTTTTTCAAAATCTGTATAGAAATACATTATAGTTCAATGAGTAATTACAGGTAGTCCTCACTTACCGGCCACTCATTCAGCAACCGTTCAAAGTTGCGACAGCGCTGAACAAGTGGTACTTAAGACTGGTTCTCAAAGTTCTAGCTGTCACACCATCCCCACAGTCACATGATCGTGATTTGGGCACTTGGCAACTGGCTCACACTTACAACAGTCATGTGATCGCCATTTACGACCTTCCCTGCCAGCTTCCCACAACCAAAGTCAATGGAGAAGCCAGCAGAAGAGGTCACAAGTTGCTCTAGTAAGTCCCCTGGTCTCCTTGCACTTTTGTAGCACTGGGCCCTCCTTCCCCCATCTCCCTGCACTCACATGGCACTGCAGCTTCCTTCCCTGGGCCTCCCTATGCTCACACAGCACCACGGCCTCCTCCCCCAGCCTCCCTGTGCTCACACTGGCCCACATCCTCCTTCCCCTGGCCTCCCTGCACTCACACATGGCTTGCATTGGGCCTCTCACACACCCCACGGCACCCCCACACTGCTTACCTGGGACTCCCACTGCCTCCTGCTTAAAGAGCCACACATCTTGGGGCTATGATGGCAACCAGGACTGCCGGGATTGTCATTGCTAAGCAATGCAGTCACATGATGTTGTACTTTACAACCACATCACTTAGCAATAGCAATCCCAGTCCCAATTGCTGTCGTAACCCAAGGACTACCTGTAATGTGAAATGATGGTCTCAGCAATAAATTTCTATGATATCAATATAAATGGTAACTATGTATTTAATACTAAAAACTATGAAATAGAGAAACTAAAAAATAGAAATGCTAAATACAAAATAAATAGAAATACTAAAAACTAATGCTAAATAGAAAAATTAAGCAGCCTGTGAATTCTTGTTCAGTTAAATAACATTAAGAATGCAGGCACACACAATGCAAAGGTTTTCTTCCTAAATTCATTACTAGCAGCTCTGGATCAAAGATGAGAAGTGCAAAAGAAGCCACAGAACCCAAGCAATTATTCTATATTACCTTAAATCTCTGTGGCTGGTGAAATTGTATTGTAGTTTTTTTCTGATCAAAATATTTCTTCAGTTGTGCATAGATGACTTTTCCATCTTTGTTAAAAATAAGCTTTTTGCCATTCATACATCTACATATATTGATGTCTGTTCCATAATACAAGCCTTGTTTGACTAGGTTTTTCAAGTCAGTTAACTGAAAGAGAGACTGATAGTAAGATGCCACGGATGAATCATCTCTCTGAAGCAGCAGTGGCTTCTGCTCCCAATATACTCTGAAAAATTCATCTTCTTTGATAGGAGCAATCAAACTCTCAAATAAGCTCTCTGGATTGTCATATTTCCAAAGCAAAGGACTGGCTGCTTCTGTTTTTGCTTGCTTGCATGGCAAACCTGGTTCCTTCTCTGGTCTAGCTCGTCTCCCTCCTTTCTTGGGCATGACCCTATACAAGAAACAAAGACACAAACAACCTGATTCTATACATATTTAGTCAAAATACATCCAACAAGTACATTCAGACTTAATCTTCCATATAGATAGGATGTCATAGGGTATTGTACAGAAACCAGTGAATTTTACTTCTGTGCAAACTTGCTTAGGATCAGGTAGCATAGCAGTCAGGTTCCATTCATCATTTACTTATTTATTGGCTTTATACCCTGTTTTTCTATTTATGTAACTACAAAGGGGCTTATGACATTTAAACCCAAATTATGAAGTTTAAAACATGATATTAAAATCAGTAAAATTAAAAATAAACAGGGTAATCCATCCAAGAAATCATTAGTTTTATTCACACGAGATCACACCAATTCATTTATCACTTTAAGGAGTCACAATACTGTAAAATTTGAGAACCCCTGACTAAGCCAAAATTATGTCTTCCAAGGTAGCAACAGAAGTGATAACAGGACACTGCATGAAATGTGCCCCCTTGCAATGATTCTCCACAGAGAAAAAAAGCTTGCAGAATAACATTTATTTTTGATTTTTATTATCATCATGACACTGTTCTTACCAATAGAATCAAAGTAGTGTACAGAAACATTTAAAAAAGAACATACAAAAACATCATAAAAGCCACCATCATGGAGAACAAATGCTCTCAAGCATAAAAGCATATAAAACAAGAAGCAGGGACAGTAACACGAAGCTTCAAAAGCCCACTTGAATAAAAGTGTTTTGAGAGCCTTGGGAAGTGTCAATAACAAGATGGCCTGGGGCACCTTCCAAGCCTTGAGCTTGCACAGAGAAGACCTGCTTTCTGGCCCATGACTCCCTCACTTACCCACGGAAGAGGCCCGTCAACAGGCTCTCTCTAGATTACTTAATAGGACAGACAGAATCATTCTGGGAGAAGTGGCCCTTGATACAACACAAAGCCATGTTATAAAGGGCTTTATAGGTAATAACCAGTACTTTTCATTTGACCTAGAAGTCTACCAGTACAGAGACCAGAGAACAGGAAACAGAGAGTGTATGTGTGTGTCTGTAATTGTATGTAGTGTGTGTGTGTGTATGTATCTATCTATATACCATAGCTTCAAAGTGTGTAAATTATAATGCTTTGACATCCATTGTCTTGGAGAAAGGCAGGTGACCTGCTGCTAAGAGACCAGAGGTGGACTGAGGAGCATTTGGAAGCACAAGTACATCCTCTCTCCTCTGGTCACTAGCCAACCTCCATTCAGCCATTTCTGTCTCCATTAGCACACTTTTCCTGAGTTACTGCTATACCTGTCACCTCTTGTCTCCCTGAATTCGATACCAGGAAGCCTTGCCTCCTAGGCTTCCAACAAGGCATTGGAGAAGACAACAGAACCTCTGCTGTTTAATCTGGGGAAGAAGGCAGATACATTAACACAATTTCATATTAACAGTAAATGAAATGTCATCACTAGGATCTTTACTTTTAGATGCAACAATCATTTTCTCATTGCAGGGCCTAGAAAATAACAAGGAATGTTGAACTCAGTTTTTGTTCCTTATTTACCACTTCCCTGTATTTGGCAGTTTCAGCTATCTCCCCAGAAATCCCCCTGAAAAATATGATGTTCCCCACAGCTATTCACTTTCAGTAATCCCACTGTACAGAACCTAACTAGTTGAATAATCATGACAGAGACTGCATCCTTCTTCCTGGGGTTTTTGCTGCCTTCTTTTCCAATCTGTTTATTTCACAGTTGTTGTTTTTTAATATGGTTAATCGTATCCAATTCTCAGAGACTGCCTGGACAAGTCCCTGCAGTTTTCTTGGCAAGGTTTTTCAGAA